TGCCCACTTAATTATACGTTGGGTTGCTAAATGCTTTTAAAAATTTTTTACAGGAGCCATCCATGAAAGTATACCGAAATTCGATTTCAGGAAACTGGCCAAAAAATGCGCTGCTTAATTATGCTTCTTGCATTTAAATCCCGAAGTGAGTTATGGTCTTAGAAAGTATTTTTCTAGATCAAATATATTAACAACATCTGAGTCGAGTGTGCAAGAGCCTCCAAAGCTCTTTTAAAGTTACCAGAGCTGAGCAAGAGATGGTCACTGCTTATTTGATACTTTATCAAAAGAAACTTCTAAACGTATCTGTGAAACATTTCACCCTGAAAAGTTCGGAATAATTTTGTCATTGATTAAAAGATATATAGCAAGATAGACGTAGCGCCTCAGTTTGCAAAACAATTAAAAAAAATGAAAAATCCCAGAAATGATTTTGCACGAAAGGCAGTAGTTTCAAAAGAATCATAAAAAATTTATAAAAAAAAAAAATACTGAAATATGCATGCTATGGATACAGTCAGTAAATTTATTACCTTCCGATACCAGCACTGCAGTGAATGACGGCAGGCTTCTTTTCACACAGTTTAAGGGCAAGAGCTCGTACTTCTCGGCATACCGGTGTCGATTCGGCTACAAAGTGATCAGGCCAGCCACCGTACAGTAAATGCAATACCTAAAAAACAAGAATATGATTTTCTGTACTTCTACGTTTGCGAGAAACACGCCATTGTAGAGCTCTACAGACAAATGATAGATCCACATTTAGCTCAGCTGCTGAGACACAAATTCAAAATGTATAATCGTGTTTGGGGGAGAACAGATAAATAAAGTTTTTTGGTGATTATTTTCATATGAGGCGAAGGCACTCAGAATTAATTCGAGTAACAATGCATATCAACAAAAGTTACAGGTTTTTTGATCAGATACATGGGTTGAAGCTTTTTGATCCAAAACCTCAAACTTTTATGCTACGTCTGACTTTGGACTTGACGCCAAATGTTGCGATTTGTGAAAATGTCGAAGATCATTTCTGGTGTTTCTACTACGGTCGTAAATTTTGTTTCCTAAATTTTCATCACATCGGATTTCGCAGTTCTGAAGTTAATTTATACGACGAGACAAAAAGAGAGATAAATACAATAACATAATCTCGCTCTAATGCATTTTTAAAATGAATTAATTACGCCTTTTCCATTATGTTTTGGCTCGTTCTAGCTACAAAAATATTATCAGAAAATTAGGAGCCGCAGAGATTTAAAGCGCTTTTTATTATCTCATTAAGGCTGCCCAAAAAAGAAAAGATTGATAGGAACATTTATTTAAAATTAGTACGAGCAAACAGTCACGAAATTGCGCACTTCCACTTCTCCCAGAAAATAAAACAGAAGGAAATGCGAGTACGAGGAGGACTCTCAGAAGTAATACCTCATGATCCTTGTTTTTATATACAGCTCGTATTTTTGTTCGATAAACTTTGCGAAGCTGCTTCATCGGCTCTGTTTTCTCGACAACTTGAACACGGATTGCACCGTACTCCTTCCATTCTTCTTCATCTTTCGGGAAGTACTCCGCACACTGCACTTTGCCATCCTCATTCCACTGACACAGCTGAACGATTACCTACAATGCACCAGGCTCTAAGTCTGATCACTGTAAATGGCCTCACTTCTTTCCTGTTCACAGAAACTGCAGGATGATATCAGGAGCAAGGTGGGCGGTCAAGCCTTTTTATATGTACGGTATAACGGTGTGGCCATCTGTGGTCAGTTAAAAAAGGAATCAAGTGGACTGTTATCACAAATAGTGGATTTAACCGTTTTGCCCAAACTGAACTATCTCACATTCTCCCAGAATGATCCCACAATGATCCCATATGTGCGCAAAGTAGGAGCAACCAAAGATCTGTTTGGATTGGAGCGGCAACTTTCTGGAGATTGTCTCGATTGGACTGGTGCTATGGTTGGGCTAGTCGAACATTGTAAACAAAGTAAAGGTGACGAACAGGATTCTCATTGGAAAAGTGAGTAAATGCGTTTTATAAATTCAAGGGCAGTTTCAGTGGTTCTCAGCAATTGCTTTTTTCGTCGTAGCGCTTGCAGGCACCCTCATTTCCCGAACATATCAGCGACTAAGGGAAATTTTGTCATCTCGTATATTTTGGTTAAAATGTAAACCTATTAGAAAAAAGTCTTAGTTTGCAAATTTTGTCTCGATAGCATTACGTGGATTGATACAAAATCCCGAAAAATAAATTATTATTATACAAAAATTATTATTATACAAAATCCGCCTGCTAGTTATTTATGCACGGTTACCCAGATGAACAGGAAATATTAACAGATCCAGCAAAAAGTGCTCGGCAAATGGTGCGCAAAACTAACTTTTGAATCTTCCTGTATAACCATGAACCAGAAATCCTCGATGGTATTTACCAAAGGGCCTTGCGCACAAATGAAATTGAGGTGGTCGCTGATTTTCACATAAGATGCGTGGTAGTAGTCATCACCTAAAAATAATTCAATTTTTTTACCTAATAAAAACGTTTTGCAGTAAAAAAGAGCGCAGATTACTTTGAAAGCCTACTATTTCTTACAAATTGTCTTTCGTAAATCTTTTTTTATCCGCAGCTTTTTTATCATCGAACGCTATGGGCTTTTTTTCATGAAGAACCACAGATGCGAGCTTATCTTATATGCCAAAACATAAGTTTTCATCGGCTAAGTTCAAAGTCACAAACATCCGCCTTTTTTAACATTCTTACCACTTGAAGTGTTTCTCAAGATGACTCTTGTTTTGTCGAGCAGTTTGATATCCTCAAACCTAAAATTTACTCATTTCAATAGAAAAAAAAACACGCTTAGAGTGTTTCTTAGGTTGGAAGATCTATTTAAAAAAAAGGTTGTTTGGTTTGCATATCACTGAAGGATCATATCGCCATTTAACCAACTTTTTTTTTGGTGATAAAATTACAAAGAATAATTCGTTAGCACCCTGCCAATGACTCATGATCTTAGCGGTATATTTTTTGATAATTAAATTATGGCATGAGGATAGGCGGGAGAAATTTTAACTCATGGATCAGAGAGGCTAAGAAACACAAATTTCAAGAGTATGTCCTTTGTTCATGTGCTAAACTGGCCGAAAAAGAAATTTTCATACATAAGCCCCCTCCCTCCCCGTCCTCTATTTTTTTTCCTGGGGTGCACCGCAACTGGGAGTTTTTTCTGCTTCTTCGTTTTAAAAGAATCACCGATTCTTATCGTAATTTTTGTCAGCTTCCCAG